TCAAAATAAAGCAGTCTCCTGCTGATAAGAGCATTTTGAGGTAGTCCGGCTCTAGTTTCTCAAACTAAAACCTTGCTTGTCCAATTAACTATTTATATGCAGTGGGAACATGCAATTGGCTTCCTTTTATTTTGCAAGTTGTATACTTAGAATTGTTAAACTTTCTCTGTGTGTGTGTGTGTGTGTATGTGTGTGTGTATGTGTGTGAAAAATCCTTTCATGCACATGAAAGTCTAAATGACAAGCAGTTATACGCAAATGTGGAACAAGCTCTTTGGAGCTTTTATCCAGGAAAACACCTTCTGAGTCATGGAGTCTGGCCCCTGTTTATCCCAAGTACCATAAAATGTAATTTCTCTATGAGTTTATCTAGTTCTGTGTTAAATGCAGTTATAATTTCAGCTCTTCCTATTGAAAGGCTGTCCACATCCAGACTGATTTGATGAGTAGGAACCATCTTCTAACTACCACTTGGTGTTTGCTCCTGGCCCATTTATACCTATCTGTGCATCTGCCTACCCTTCTGTCCTCCCCTCTTCAGGATAACTTTGAATGTTTGGGGTTCAAGTGAAAAACTGCTCAAGTTGACTATTTGAAATGAAATGCCCTGTAAGATAGGGCCTGATTCCATCATGGCTTAGCACAGGAGCACTCAGGGAAGTTAGCACCAATGCACTCTAGTATAAGAAAGTTTAGAGGTACTGCTAATGTGCTTCCCCTGTCTACAGCTGTGCTGCGCTGAAGAGCAGAGGCTGCTCCTGATAGCACTGTGCCTCTGTACTGCCCCACCTTTCCCATCTCACCATGCATGATCTGACTGGCTTTTTTTTTTTTTTTTTCCTTGAGAAATGGCAAAATACTTCTGGTCAGATTTTCCCTCCACCTCCTTGATTCTTACATTGCTAATTTATGCCTTTGTGACTAGTTTGGGCAGATGTATACATTTATTGCTGTTTCAACTCCGTCTCTTGTACCTCTTTTAAGCATTTCTCACAATGGCTATCTTTGTCCTTTCAACTGAAAGCAGATAAACAGTTGATTAAAAACTATGGTAGCATTTAACTGAAGGTCATGTTACCTGCATATCTCCAGGAGCAATACAGCTGCCAAAAGTAGAGGTTCAAGGTTGCATATTATATTCCTACAGTGAGGGATATACTACTCTCAAATTCAGTCTGTGGCCCAGGGAACAAACCTGGTCTCTGTTTCTCTTCTGAAAGCTCAGGGTCCACCTGTATGCATTCTGATGCTGGCTGCAGGTCTAGCTTATTGCCCTAATTCTGGGTCCACCAGCCTCTTTCTAGATGTCATTTCCTTAGACTGACTGAGTAGATCACAGCGTTGGCTTCCATCTTTAAAGATTAGCAGGAAATCTTATCTTTAGCTCAAGCAACGAAGGAACATAATTAATATTTAATATGTTATGGACTTGAAATGTAACACTGTGGTACCCGAGAATGAAATTTTGTTACAAAAAGCCATTCTTTGTGCCTAGTGATAGCAGGCTGGGAAGAGAGCGAGTTAAACTACAGACCTGACTCTCTGTGACTCTATTGTAAGCACTACCCTCTATAAGTGGTAAAATGTCTATTGATTAGGTACCATCAGATCCTGCAGGCAGTTTGCCTCGCCCATGTGTGAATGCTCCGCAGTTTTAAGAACCAGTGGAAAGTGCTGTGTAAGGATATGTGGAAATGCGAACTCTTCTTGACATCATGTTTAGTGCACTGGACTCAGGCAGCTTTCAGCTTTCAATGTCTGCCCAGAAATGAGTCTGAATAAATAAGACTGGGATCATTCATTGCAAGAATAACTTTTTTTCCTGAAAGAAGTGCTTTAAACACTAAATAGTGGAGTCTGAGCAAGATGAAGTGAATATTCCAGAGGTATTCAAAGCTTGATCACGGTAAGAGTATTCACTGGCTGTACTTACAATGATATCTAGTAAAAATTGCCTCTGAAATGAAAAGATTAAAGGAGAAAAAGTTGGATGTGGAAATCCAGGTTTGTGGATGCTTACAGTACAATTATTAATGATAAAATCAAATCTAGATTTTAAAATTTGGATTATTTTGTCTCTTTTGCTTGAATAGTACTTCAGCATCATAAAATTGGCTGCATATATCTTTCTTCAAAATGTTCTAATAATCATGCAAATCTATGGCATTATCAGATTTGGAAAAGTAGAAATAAGATGGGTTAGTGTATTAACTGACAAGGAGCTAAAGACAAAGGGTAAAGAGGACTAGATTTTGGACAGTATCCTGAGTGATTAGGAATTAGAACGTTCAAATGATTCATCTCTTTTGAAGGGCACAAAAGTGCAGACAGGGTTAATCTTTTCCCATTCTAAGTGTAGTTTATGGACTATCAACTCAAAGTCCAGACCTTCAGGCTACATTTCTGTTGAGAGGGTTTTTCATATTTTAAATTATATTTATAAATTTGCAGATAATCTGAATGTAGCTGTTGTTTAATACCTTGTTTATATGTTGAACGTGGATAAATTTCGGTTGTAGTGCTAGTCCCTGCAAGGCACTTTTGCAAGTTTACGTTTACCTCTGTAAATTTCTCTTACTTGATGAATCTATTCCACCATCCTTCCCTATGTTGAATTGTGAATGAAAAGAATGCCAAAACAAAAGACAAAAAAACCACACAAACAAAAAATACTATCCCTTATACTCACAAACTAATCTCCCATGCTGAGTTAGGGGTCTGTTATGGAGTTGTGCAATGTCTTAATTTATAACTGTTCATACTTTATATGCTGTAAATTCTATCAGCTGGAAAATAGGTACTTCATATTTTATTACTCTCATAATGTATCCCATCCGTACCATAATTCTGAGACGTACTATGATTTTTTAAAAATATATCTTAATTAATATAGACTAATCATACTTCAAAAATTTGTTATTAAATGATTGGACTGTACCTTTCAAGAACTGGCATGGTGAAATATCATGTCCAGGAACAGTTTAACTGTTTGTCTTCCTGCTTCATGCTATGCCAATATTGTCTACAGTCTGTTGTCTTCTGTTTTATTGCCCTATAACCCTACGTGTAATCCTGTTAAAAGTTGACTGTGTTTACCCAGGTAACCCTCTATAGAGCTTGTTCTTCCCTGTGTTCCCTGGACTGTATAAGGTGGTAGAGTGGGCAAAAAAAAAATTGTTCTTGCTTGCCTTTGGATAACTTTTTAGAATCTTCTTTTCCTCTGTGTTTTTGAGATTTGGATGGTGCAGAAATAAGACAAACAGCAAAAGGCAGCACCTTTTCTTTTTCTTTACGCAATATGTACTGATATGACTCTCTCCCTCCCTTTTACTCCCACAGTTATGGAAAACAGGGAGTAACCTGGAAATGCATATCCTCCAAAAAGCTGGAATTAGACAAAGGGAAAGTACTGAGTTACTGAAAGAACTACATTAATCAAGCCTGTTTGGATATTCAAATGTAGTAGCATAGTAATGGAAAAAGGACAGGCTTTTCAAGGAACATAGAGTTCAGGGCTATGTAAAGAACCTGATGTGATTTTGTGTTAAGCTTTTTATCCATGTATTTTTACCTTTATCTGAGGTCTGTGTATAACACTGGATTTTTTCCATATTTTTCATGCTGGAAAGATCTAATGAGCTGCTTCTGACCTTGACTGTTTGAGGCACTCTCTGAAAACCAAAACTTTTAACTTTATAACCAAAATTTGTCTATTCTAAGTGAGTTACTCTCAATAGAATATTATCACTCTTACCACAACTTATTTTTAGGCAAATAGAAGCTTAGTCACATGCAATAGCAATTATCCCCCCCAAAAATGTTAAATTATTTTATTCTTCTCCATGCATATCTCTTCAATGTTAGTATCTATGTTAAATTTAAAAAAAAAAAAAAAGTTTAATCTAAAAATGAAATATGCAGCAGAACAAATATATATTACCATTTTTTTACTTGGGCAATAGAGTGAATGAAGAGTAATGAACATGATCTTTCTAAGGAGATACTATTGTATGATATGACTGTATTTTCATCCTGTGATTTGATATTCCCCCCCCCCCCCCCCCCCAAAAAAAAAGCACAGTTTTGTACTATAATATTTGCATGTTTCCATATTACTCACTAGGATACTCATGAAGTTGCTGTGATTGATCTCTATACAGTATTACAAATATTTAAGCACAAGTTGTGCATGTTGATATGTACTGTTAGTCATAAGAATACTTGAATTGTGGTCAGCCAAAATCTTTCTGTTGGCTTAAAGCATAAGTTTGCCCTAGTTTTCATCAGACAGTCTGGACGTCTCCTACTTTTAATAAGTGAATCAAACTCAAATCTATTGAGTAATAAGGATATAATCTGATTTGAGCCCAGAGGATTTGAGAATACTTTTAGCTGTTGTTTTTGGGTTTGGTTTTGTGGTTGGTTTTTTGTAAATATTTTATTCTAAAAGCAAACCCACCTTTTTAGCTCCCTTTCTATGAATATGGAAATGTAAATGACAAAAAAAGGTTGCAAAGAATAAATGTCTCAGTTTAATTTAAGCTGAAATAATCCTGCTGCTTTTTCTTGCTTGTGTGTAAAAAAACTTGGTGTAAAAAAAGATTACATAGCATGGACTGAAATATTTTTCTCTATCCTATAAACTAACCATATGTAAAGAAGTACAGTCATGATGGACAGAACCTATTATCTCTCCAAGCAACGAAGTGGCAAAGAGTTCCTCATGCTCAAAAAAAGTGCTCAACTGTACTGTCATTCTGCTGTAGATAACTAAAATATTATATTTTCTATTGTTAATTGAGGTAATTGCAAAACTGAAACATTAAATTCCTTTAATATGGATTTATGTTAAGTCTTTGTCAGGAGAAGAGCAGCATAAAAACAAGTCTGCCTTGATATAGGGGTGGATATTGAGCTATTTGTGTTGGAAACAAAGGTTTTGATATTTTGAGTTTGTCTTTCTATATGAACTTCTCAACTTTTTTTTTTAATAACCACAGCAAGACCAGCTTTATACTTGGGCTGCAGTTAGCCAACCCACACATTCATCAGATTACATTGAAGGAAGCTTTCCAAGGAGAATTCCATCTGTGTGGCCTCCACCCAAACCTCCAGATGAAGAACAAAGACTCAAAACTACAGAAGAAGGTATAGTTCTTAGACATAGACAAGATATATGTACGGCATAGTGGGGAGCTGCTGTCTTTTAGTATCCAAGATATAAACCTAATATCTTAACTTCTAACAAATACCTGATTTTGAAGATCTTGGATTAGCTTCAGAAATAATGCGAGCTAGTATGAATCTAATAAAAAAAAATAGTCAGCAGAAATGCATGCTTTTTGTTAACATTGAAGATGTGTACATGGCATCTGCTGACTAATGGATTTTACCAGGTGTTGTGACCTTTGTTCTTTTCCAATTTACATACCTTCAGAGCCATGAAATATGGGTACTTTTCTCTTCTTAAAAATATGGAAAAATTCAGAATATACCACCACTGGTGGTATACTGAAAGTTATCAGGGTGGTGTAAGGTATTCCTATGTGGATTCAGCAGTCCCCTGCTGACAGAGAGGGAGGAAAAGTGTATCTAAAAAATAAGTTGAGGTTTTATTTACAAAGTCAGTTTATCTTAAAATTTGTGAGGTTACCAGCCAAATTTCTGAAATCTTCTGCATACTCATTAAAAACTTTGTTTAAGCTGAGAATTAAAACAAAACCAAACAAACCCCTCTTGTAGCTGACAAAGAAATTTAGAAAAGAATTTCAAACCTGTTTTCTGTTAGTAGTGTTGATGGGCAAATACCACAGGTTCTTGGAGGCTTAGCTTTGCATTAGTTAGTATTCAACAGTTCTCAACACTTTTAAGCTGCATTCATCCTCATGACCTTCATGGAGAGAGAATGGGTATTCTCAAATTTTCTGTTTCCTACCACTCCTTTTTCTCAGTGCTCAGACTTGAAGAATTAAGTCATTATTTCAACAGATCTCTTTGTATTGCTTGTAGGCTTTGGGTGGAGTTAATTTCAGATTTGCCTCTCTTTGGGACTTCTCTACCACTTCCTCTGGAACACAAGCACAATATTCATGCATGGATACCATTTATCATGGCAACACTTCACTTTTCCTGGTATCGCTTATTCCAGTGTTCACAAGTGATGACAGCAAAAATGCAATACTCCTATATTATTCTGTTTATGCTGTGGCTTTTACCAAAGCAGCTCTATTAGTGGTCAAGGAAACATTTCTGCATCCATCTCACTGACGCAATTCAGAGTGTGTAACGCTGCAGTACTGGACTTTTAGGCTAGTCCAAATTTTACTATTAATCTAATACTTTATGCTATATTTAATGAAAGTACTCTGAGAGGACAAATTGTGTTTCTCAGTTTGGAGGCTTAGACATGTGGACAAGTGATTGGAAGATTTATGAACATACTCTGCACTGGAAAAACAAAAGGGTGAATATTTTATTTTGCTTTGAGGTTTTAGCTTGGCGGATGGTGGTGCAAGATAACAACAGTTTTGCTGCTCTAAAATCTAAAGGAACGTTGATTACATAAAATATTTTGAAACGTAAAGATTTTTTGCTATTTTTACCAGTTTCGAAGAGTATTTCCAACAAGAGGATAATACTAATAACTTTTAAATGTATTCATTTTATACATGGTTCTTTTCCGTCCTATGTTGTTCTATTTAATATACCTACTAAATGGATGTAACGTGTACAGTACTTGTCTGTTCCTTATCTCAGCCACTACCCTGTCAAAACCTGCTAAAATATTAAGAAAATAGAATTAGAAGTGAAATGGAAAATTGTGTATTGCGACTGTTTCTAAATGGAACTTAAATAGTTCTCAAAATTTGCTTGAGGTACTGACGCTTTAAAATATTATTGGAATTTTGGGGTTTTGGTGTGAATTTGCAGTGTAGAGCATGCAGGGAAAAGGAAAAATTATCATTGTTCTGAATAATTATGTAGATAAATAATTTAACTTTTCATTTGATTGTTCACATGCTTGCCATGTGGAAGAACCTGGAGGTGAGTGATCTTTCATGTGCAGCCTGAAGGATGAACACCTTCCCCAAGATTTATAACTAAATTAATTTATGTATATATGGCTTTGAAAGGTGGAGAGGGCAAGCATTTTTTAAAGGGTGTGCAGAGTAGCTGTATTTTGCTTTATATATAGTTATTGCTGTATGGGTTAAAAAGATACGGTATTAACATTACAGACAATGGTTTATAAACAAAAATGCCCATTTTGGACAAAAGTATTGATCCAGAGAGGAATGTAGTAGGATATTTTTATATGTGCAGTCTTTATTTTTATTATACAGATATTAGCATTAGGACAATACTAGGCCTTCAAGTTTTAACTATGGCAAAAGGAAATTCTGCAAGGTCTTGGGTAATCTGTTCCTAAGTTAGCAAAGTAGTTAATATAGTATATATAAAATAGTTTTTGTGTGTGTTCTGTGTTATGTGGAGTGTTGCTGGGTGTGAGGAAAAGACTATTAGAGTGGTCAGGGTTTCTTTTTCTTTTTTTGTCAGGTTCATTGAGGGTTTTGTTTGGTGGGGATTTTTTAGGCTTTTTTTTTTTAGTTTGAGTGGTTTTTTTTTTTTTAGATTGACTATTTATTAAAAAACTGAAGTTTGGCAATACTTAATATGAATTTGGGTTCAAGCCAGCAGATACTTATGCCAAAAAATTTTTTGAGTTCTAGATTCAGAAAAGTTTTGGGGTAAAATAAGTCAATATCACCAATAAGATTAATGTGTATGCCATTAATTTTTCATCTGAATACCCCAAATCTGTTTCTGTCGCTTCCTAAACACAACAGGGTATTTGAAATTCAATTATTTTAATCCTCTGCTGATGACGCTATTCCACTTAACATATAGGAAAAGGCAAGTATGCAGGCACTAGACCCCAGACATCCTGTGCCCCATGTGACTGTGCTTTCCACCTGGGCAGAGACTCAAAGGTTATACAACTTCACCTGCAAAATGAAACTGTCCCAACACACTAAATCTCTGTAAGGGTTTACACCCTGAAATCTAAGTTAGTCTTTTTAATAAAACTGGGCTTGTCCAGACATTTATTTCCTTTGTTTTATGAAAAATGAGGAAAAAAAACAGTGTTTGGTTTGGGTTAGAGGGAAGGTTTCATTTGTGATATGGCACTTTTTTCCTTTCCTTACCTTTTTCTTTTTTAAAGTTTTTTTTGTTGTGGTGATGAGGTTTCTTTTTGTTTGGATTTTAGTTTTACTTAAGAAAGATAAAACCCTGTTAGATTGCTGCAGATAAATTGTATTTGGTGAATTTTGGCAAACTAACCTTAAAATTAACTGCTTGTATTACCCTGAACTCCGCTTGTATTTAGAACCTCTTTTAGAATGAGACCTGTCTGAGATAAAAATAAGCTAGGCAATTCTGTCAAATTGTTAAATATTCACAAATATATAGGAGTAACCTGTTCCTTTTTTTTTTTTTTTTTTTTTAAGAATTTTTGAGTAAGAGATGTAATTTGTGCCCATTTGCACAACAGGAAACATTACTTTCTAAGTTGTGTGTCTTGTCTAGTACTAGAGCATTAGTGAAGCATAAAACCTAGTGTGAGCAAAGATCAAATTCATCTTAAGGTTTCTATCAACCTCACAGAAATCTAAAAATCACATACACAGGCCCTGGGGAGATGACCAATGTACAAATACTAGTGAAGTTTTCCTGGTTTTGCAAAGCAATTGAGGAAGGGTTAGCCAAAAAAAATTCTCGTCCAGATAATTTGTAAAACAAGTATCTCACAATTGCTTAGTTTAGAAATGTGTTGTGGTTTAACCCGGCAGGCAGCTAAAACAACCACACAGCCGTTCACTCACTACCTGACACCCCTCTGTCCCCCCCCGCCCACCAGTGGGATGGAGGAGAGAAATAAAAGGAAAAACGTAAAACTCATGGATTGACATAAAGACACTTTAGTAGGACAAAAAAGAAGAGAATAATAATAAAAATAATGATGTCATATGGCATGGGAATATCACTTTGACCAGTTTGGGTCAGATGTCCTGGCTCTGCCTCCTCCCAGTTTCTTGGGTGCATGTGAGAAGCTGAAAAGTCTTTGACTGCTTGACAACAACTAAAATTCTGTGTTATCAACATTATTCTCATCCTAAATCCAAAACACAGAACTATACCAGCTGCTAGTAAGAAAACTAAATCTATTCCAGCTGAAACCAGGACAAAATGTTAATACTCTTCTCTTCCTTCGGAAGAGACGTTAATAACTTTTACCAGAAAATAATCATTCACTGGTTTTGGTGTGGTTCTTTTGGTTGAAATGAGGAGCGAGTGTCCAATTCATTAGTAGCATCCTGAATTTTCTTCAGTAAACAAGTTTATCTGAAAGTCAGCAAAAAAGGCGGCATGACTTATCCATACTAAATACTTGTCAAAGCGAGAGATGATGAGTTATTTCCTGTTGACAGCCTATCCTCATCCAGTTTTTTATGACTTGAAATGCTGTTTTAGTAAACAATTAAAAAAGTAAAAAGGTTGAGGACTTAATTTTCAAGGGGTAACCTTGTAGCACAACTGCCACTGGCAACGAAACTTCCCCCTTGTATGTCTTGCCTCGCAACAGCTGGGATTGTCAGAAAGCTGTGAGGAGGCCAAATGTCTAGGAATTATGAAGCCAGAGGTTCCAGACCACAACTGCTTCACTCTTCCTGCAAATGGTCAACAGATTTGCCTGCTGTATAGTGGTACCCTTAAAAAATATAAGGGTGTGAGACACACATGTTCTCTGGGCATGCATAAGAAAAATACATCTATTTTTTTTCCTGTATACAAAGTTAGGTTATGACCAGTTAGAGAGGCATCATTAGCAGTAACTACGAAGCTGGTTAGTGATCTTTGAACTGTGTAGCTGCTGAGGGTTTTTTGGGTTTGGAGGTTTTTTTCTTTCCTTGCCTGATAGGAGATAACTAGAAAAAAAGAAACTGAGGCACAAAGAGGCTTTTTTAAGTTCAGAGAAGAAATCTATAGAAAGGTCAGAACAGAAACCAGAGCTTTTAATTGAAGTCCTGTGCTTTAACTACAAGACTCTCTCTCTTCCATAAATAAATTTTTAAAAAGTCTTTGTTATTCTCTGCAATGGCTTACCAAAAGACTTCAGGGTCCTGACCATGTGTTGGGTTGTTACATATTTGTGTCATTTCTGTAAGAACATCTCTTATTTCTTTTATCCAGCAGCCAATGAAATTACAGCACTGTAGAAACAATGCAGGAATATATAGTATGTTTCTCTCACTGAAAGAAATATTAGCACAGTCTAGGTTTTAATGTCATTTCTTTTGTGCTTAGATTTGGTTTAAATTGAAATGTTTTTATGAAAACAGACATTTCAAAGAGTAGTATTTGTAGATAGAATAATTGTTATCCAGGTTTTAAAATAAGAAGGGGGGCGGGGGAGGGTGTGTCTTATGTTTTGATGCCCATTTTCCACGTAAAATGTGCAGATGAAAGTTTAGTCGCACTGTTCTTTTATTTTTTGTTGTCACAGTGATAGTTGAAGATCTGTAGTTCCATATAAAACCATTATTCTGGGACAATTTTTTTTTTTTAAATCCATTTAAAGACATTAATTAAGTGAAGGAATGCTTAGATATTCATTAGGATTCTCGTTAGTTATTCCAAAGTAGAAAATAATTGGAGATACAACTAGAATGAAGTACTGCTGTTTCATTTTTCAATGTAAATGAGTAACATGGTCAAAATTCCAAAAGTCAAATTAATGCTGGTTCTTTGCCCAAAAGACAGCATGTGGAATTCAATACAAAGATGAAGAATTAGTTTTGTGTCTTCAGTCTGAATGTCCCCATTTCTGGGAAGCTCTGACTGTACACTTACACAGTAAGTGTACTACCCCAAACCATCCCTTTGTAAGGCTGAGATGTTTTAGACAGTGAATAATAAAGCTAGGAAGAAATCAAGTTTTCTCAAAATATATTTGCAATGGTAAGGCCAATTGCATTCAAACATGCTTTTAAAATGTGAATTTAGATCTGTATCACTATCTCATCATGGAGATTTCAAATTTTGACAGTAGGGCAGAGGCAGGCCAGTGAGGATATGAAAAAGACTACATAGCTGCCAACAGTCATCATTCGGCTCATGGGTACTTTTGACCTTTTGTGAACAGACACAATCCACAGACCTCAAGGAAATACTCGTTAAGGAGACTGGATGGGAGAACAAGCATGAGAACCTTCCCTTGGCCGTCTGTGGAATGTGTATAATAGAGACATAAGTAACTATTTATCTTTGAATCTGAAATTTTGACAATCAAAATGGACTTCTTTCAAGTTTAAGATGATAGTATTTAATATTGAGTCATAATACATTGCAAATTGAGATCAGGCTGGCTTTATTTATGCATATAACCTGTTCGGTTAATTTTAGATGGAAAAATTGGAAAGTGGGACATTTAAGATTATTTTCTTTTTAACTCTACCTTCTTTTCATTAAATTCTTAATGTGTATTTCAAAAGATCAATGAATTTTTTTAACATAGAACTTCTCAAATCCATATCTTCTTTTCAAATTCAGAGTTGAAATCTGCTGTCCTAGAAACAGAGAAACAATGCACAGATGATGTTCAGCGGGTACAGGTAAGATTCTACCAGAAGTGTTTTATCGTTTTGTAAAACTACCAGAAAAGCAGTACTTCATATGTTTTTGCAATAGTCTTGTGTACTGAATGTTCTGAATGCAAACATTCAGAAGTGTGGTTTTGATTCTAAATTTTTATTTCAAAATACTTACATGCTCCATAGTGTACCTAGGTATAGAGATTGAAGGTTCCTGCCCGCCTAAGGTGGTTCTTGTAAAATGTTATTGTTCACTCAGAAGTAAGTTAACACTTGGTTCTGGGGGTCTGATGGCATTACTAAGGAACAGTAATAGAAGATTTCCTTATATTAGCTAATCTACAAAAGTTCATGTGAATCATAGTGGCAGACATTTTTTTTCTGTTTCTCCACTGAAGCTTATAGCAGTGCTGGTAGTTGAACAGATTTAGAGTGCCATGCTGGACTTCAAAAGTAGATAATGTAATGCTGGAACAGTGGAGGCTTAGTCTGGGCTGGACTTGTTTAACATAAACACAGTCTTTTTTTTTTTTTTTTTTAATATGTCACCATTCATGCTATGTTCTTCTTTAAAAGTGGTGGAGTTTGATGGAGTTGAGAAACTTCAAATTTTGTTGCCTCAAAAGAGTAGCTTATTTTCTATGAAAGCTCTCTGATCACAAGGACCAGACTTATCTTACTAGTGAATAAGAGTATAAGACTGTTCAGTTGTTCTGGAAGTCATGAAGAGGAAGGCAAAGTTCTGTTTTCCTTAAATCTTCGTTTGGAACAAGGAGTGGCCAAAAGCTCTTGATATCTCTATTTTTTTTTTTCTTCCCTTTTTTTTTTTTTTTTTTTTCCCCCTTCCTTGGTGGAGTTTGTTTTTTGTGGGTTTTTTGTTTCTTTTAGGTTTTTTGGAGTTTTTTTGTTCATGACAAGATGGTTCAATCATCGCTGCATTTAGCAGAATTTGTGAAAATGATCAGTGATTTGCTTTTGAAATAAGGGGAAATGAGGGGAAAATAAGGAATGGCTTGTTTGTGAAATGCATGCTACTGATCATTAGACTTGCAAATTTAATCTTGGTTCAATCAAGTATTGCATGAGCATGAGTGGGGAGAATAGGTGTACCTTTATAGTTTTTGTCTTGCTAAACAACATTAAAGGAGTTCTAGTCAGTTACTTAAATTCTTCTACCTCCATAATTAAGAACATTTTAAAAACTAGAACCCATTAAATAAAATTATTCTACATTGCAATATTTTAAGTTTAAACTAAAACTTCTTTGTCCCGTGTTATTTTTATATTTCAGTCACCCAGGTTTCAGTAGCAATGCTTTCTAGTATTTCTTGTGAAAAAGAACTTTTTCCTGTACTTCCAGAAAGGTATTACACCTAAGCAGTGTATTTATTCTGTCTCTAGGATTTTAATTCATTACAATAAACAACCTACATAAAAAACTTACTTGTATTGGAAATAGGTTCATGAATGCTTACGTACTTTACCTAAAAAACCTCTGAATTTTTTTTTTTTTTTTTACTATGAGAATGAAGTTTAATCAGCAGCACTAGAGCACTGTTTGATTGCTCAAATGAATAACATTTACTTCAAGTTGGTGGTTTTGTTGTTATTTTTAAAACTAGCCTATTAGGTTGTCCGGTTACTGAATTGCATTTGCTGGTGATGTTAGAGATCCCTATCCCTCTTGCTCAGTGTTGATCTCTAATGACAACAATGCAAACTTCTTCCATTCTGTACTATTATACGTCAATGAAGAGCAGAAATAACTGGTCTGAATGCGTGATCACCTCACTTGCAGAAAATATTAGGTAATCATCGTTCTGGTTTATTTTGAAAATCAGAGTAGAAGTTATTTAATTTGAGGAACTGTATGTAGATAAAATGTTTTCATGTGTTCAAATTATTTCTGTACAGTCCTAAACAATTGAGTGCATTCTACCTATCTATTAATATCTATCGATATGAATCTATAAAAGCATCTAGAAAATAGAATGGTCACTCTAACTTTTTTCATCATGTTTGTAGAGAAATCCTTTAATCAAATCATTCTGGGTGTTATTTGTGCTTTTTAGTGATGAAATACTATGAAATGTTTCTATTAGAGATCTAGCCTCTTTTATTCTTTGTCTAGCTTGTCCATAGTTTTTCTTTCTGAAGAAATCAAGTGTTGACTGACATTAGCCAAGTAGGTGATTTTTATCTTTTGTTTTGATACGTGACAGAGGAAGAGAGGCATAGTGTAAAATTTGAAACTGATCAACTAAGGCTACTTACAGGATTCTTCCCTCTCCCATTCCTGGGAAAAGACATTTTCCACATCCTGTTAAAATAATTGGAGATGGTCAATATAGACAGAAACAAATGTAAATGCAACATGATGCTGATAATTTATCTCAGTTATGATAAACAGTTAACTGAAAGATTCAGAATAATTCTAAATTAAAAGCACAAGTCACACACAGAGCCTGGATTCTACACTTTCCTGCCACTGGATGGAGCTTTTTTATATATCCTCTCCATTTCCTTACCTTTCCAATGTTAGACATAACTTTCATATTTTGCAGCATAGTTTCCTAAAGTTTTTAAGATAGCTCTTTTGAGTTCAAAATAGCTAGTTTTTCAAAAATTATAATTTAAAAAAAAAGAAGGCCTGGGGTGTGCTTGCTTTTAGTGCAGGAATTGGTAAGCAGAGGAAAAATAAGAAAAATGAGCAGCCATTTCAAGTCCTGGTTTTGAAATGCCAAAGAGGAGCAACAATGTCTGCCTAGTCTTCCCAGTACAAACAGAGAAAGTTTTATTAGGCCTCACTCCTTTAGTGAAAGAATAAGAGAAAAATTGAATGTCCTAATTTAGAAACTCCAGCTTCAAACCTGATGTTTAGATTTGTACTTTTGTACAAGAGTCAATTTCCTTTGTTTCACACCTCTGATCTTTTATGTTATCCTTGCAATTTTTCCTACATTTTAACTCAGTTTTCAGGTTTGCTTCATCTTGTTTACATGGTAGGTAAAACCAGAGTCTTAGCAGAAACAAACAAACAAAAACAAACCAAAACCCCCCCATTTTATAGTTGTGAAATGAGTACATGAAAACTAGGCTTTGATAGTAGTGGGACATCACAGAACTGAAAACCTGAAGTTATTTGGAAGTCACCTAAATTCCTTGTTCTCTTATACACCTTACTATCAAAATATTTTAGATTTCTTTTTTTGATTGTTTGTGATGTCTATTCTGAGTATCACACAAATTTGAAAAGAAAGCCCTCAGTATGTTTATTTAAAGGTCAGCATCCGGATGTAATGAATTCTTCTCCACGCCATTGATGATGCCTGGTTGCTGTAATCCTGCCTCAGGAGATGAGGTTTTGCCAGGCTGTTCCAATTTCTAGCAGTTTGGTTATGAGATAGTTTACACTGAGTATTTAAACTATATTTGCAGTGGAAAAGCTTGCCATAAAAAAAATTCTTAGCCTGTAATGTTTCCAGCTAAGTTGTTCTCTTTGGTTTGGTTCACCCCATTTAAAGCAACAAATAAAACCTCAACCAAAATTATATGCCTTCTTGGAACGCCACGTACTTCAACTGGTAGTAACAACCAGACAAAATTTTGGCAGTTCTCAGGCACCGAAGACAGATTTCTACTGCATGATCTATTAGTGCGCTTTCCAACAACATCACAGGGAAACAATGCTAGCCTTAAAAACCTTAAATTACAAGACATGTTTTGCCATGTTGAATATACTTTCTACTTTGAAAACATTATAAATCTGACTCTTGGAGTGTCTCTAGAGTAGTCCTAACTAACACGCTTTTCTGGTAACCCCTGTCTCAGCCTTTCAGCAGGGACCTTTTTTCTTACTCTAGTCATTAACTACAAATTATTATAACTCCTTAGGGTAATAACTTAGTGACATTTGAAATGTTCCAATTTTGACACTTAGTAATACAAGAAAAAAGATTGTGAAATCCTTTAAGATAAATACATACTCAGTCTATTTAAAAAAATATAAAACATTGGTGGGATTGGGCTTTACTTTTCATTGTTATAAAATGTCACAGCTAGACTTTGTCTCGTAAACATGCATGCTGCTCAAAACTCTCTCTTAAATGAAATTTCAAAAAGACTATTCTTTACAGGTGAAGGTAAGATAAGGAAGATAAATGGAAGATTTGTCTGAAATTGTGAAATGATTCTACTACACATACAAAAAGAATAAAATAAAAAAGGGAGATTTTTTTAAACCTGTTTTATTTTGACATTACATGGCTTTCATCAGGGGAGAGGCAAATTGTAGGTGAGACTGGTTAACACTTTTGTTCAACAGAAATTGGAGGAAAATTGAGATTTCTTCCTTTATAAGCTCCCGAACCATTCTGTGGCTGTGACTCTTTTTACACTGCTTCATTTTACATTCCTTCTTGAGATATTTATTGAGAAGGACCCAGTGATCCTGGCAACACATGTCACTCCTTCTGTCCCTTCACTACTTGCTGGGTTACTCTTTGTAAGGGGGGAAGAGGGGGCTTGGGGAGGCAATCAACAGTTATTCTAAAACAATTATTTTCCAACAAAAGTATGATTGCTAAAGTCTTAGATTTCAGCAGGGAGAAAAAGGAGGCATATGTAGGCAGACAGTGTTTTCTTGTTAGCCTTAAGAATAAATTATACTTTTCAAAAATACACAGAAAGGAGATAAAGTTTGTGTGAAATGAGATGATGGAAACCTGGCAGAAGACTTTACGGCTGGGGTCATAGTATCTACTCAAGTGCAGAGCATTTTGCTCAGGCAGTAAAAGGGAGTCTAACCTTTGTCGAACTTCACTCTGGGACACAATAAGTGCAAATCAGGTATAGCCTGTCTTTTATGTTCATGAAATATAGGTTTTTATGCAGAAGTTTCCAATTTTATTGATGGAAATCTGTCTTTGATTCTTAGTATTAGAATTTTCAGTTTAAACGTGCTGCAATTTTCAGGTTTCTTTTTGGTTTGTTTTTAGAAAGCCTAATAAGCACTA